AAAATGGTTATAGAAAATTTATTCGTGCGAATCTCAATAATCATCTAACAAATGATAATTAATTATTAATTATAAATTAATTAATCACCAGTTATCATTATTTAGCATTTATCATTGGCCTATCTTCCTTGCTTGAGCGAGTAAGGAAGAGAGAAAGAGAGGTAGGGAGGGAAAGAGACAGAGCAACTGGCGGAAAGACTTTCACGGGTCTTTCCATCATTTTCGGTCTTAGAAATATCCAATGTTGTCATTCTGCGCGCGCACACAGCGTACATGTGACGCCTCGTCTTGTGTGACGTAGTGCGATATATATAGATATAGTAGAGTCTTGCGATATATATAGATATAGTGGGCTCTGGGAGTAGAGGTTCTCAGCGCGGAGATATATTACGGGGTGAAATCGGATAATCGCGGCTGCCTTTTAAAATATAAAGGATGGGTGAAAATGTTTCAGATAAAATTTGTTTTATATTTAAGCATAAAAATTATGGAGGAAAAAAAAAATTTTTTCATCCATTAGATTAGAAGTTACCCTTCCTATTTCATAGTTATTGTTTGAATTAAATTATATTGATATGAAAATATAATGAATCAGATTTTTTAATATTTTTTACCATTATTTGAAATTGAAAAATGACATTTTTTCCATTTTTTATCATTTTTTTTCTCCTATTGTACATTTGAACGGCTGTAGGGGTTGAACGCTACAAAATAGGGATGAAGTGCTTCATATGTTTTTTATCGGAAATATATTGCTCTACAAATTATATTCGACCTTTTTTTCCATATCTTGTGTATTTTGCAAGTTAATCGCGAAAAACCATTTTTGAGGGTAGTTTTCAATTTTTGTCTGGAATTGCACAAACTTTGGTCACCTAAAATTACTTGCACATTTCTACATAAAAAGCGTCTTGGCTTTATGAAACACATATGGTAGACCTAATTTGCCTGGACTATGTAACACCGCGAGCGATCTTAACCGACGCGCAACTTTTCGATGTTAATCAATGATTAATTAATTGTCTAAATCAACATAACTCAACCCGTTAAATCAACTCAAAGATTAATCAACGACTTTGTATATTTTTGTATATAATCTCGACAAGAGAATATTAAAACGCAGTGTTTTATACCTCGGTTTGTGGTCCACTTGATCACCCTTTTCCCGACACCCATTTCCAATTTTCCGACGCCCGACCACCCACAAGCAACGTTCTCCACTAAACAATAATCAATGGAAAAACCCCAAAAACCCAATTGTTTAAAAGATAACTGCAAAAACAGTCGCGCCACTGGGAACTTTCGGGAAACCCGCGGGCAATCCCCTCGCCATTTATCGGATAATTCAATAATTATTAATTATGTTATCAACCGAGAATTTGACAAAGATTTATAAGAAGAACTTTTTTTGTTAAATCTCATTAACAAAAAAAAAGATTCTCCGATAAATTTTGCTAATTCTCATGATTGACGAGATAATTAATAATTAAAAAATGGTCTCAGAAATCGACGGAACGATCGCCGTGATTTTTAGATTTTTCGTTACAAAGGCCGTCTTCATCAATTATCTAATAAACAATGGGCTTTCGGAGATTTTTCCATTGATTATTTATTGTTGCAAATCGAATTTGCAACAAAAAACATTTCATGGAAAAATGTCGTACGGCCCATCGTTTTTTTTATAACATTTAAAAACGATCAAACTGTTTGTTGCTGATATTAAATAAACAATAGGGCTTAGGTGATTTTTCCATGAGATTATTTTGTTGCAAATTCAATCTGCAACAAATAATAATAAATGGAAAAACCCGAAAAACCCAATTGTTTAAAAGATAACTGGGCAAACAGTCGCGCCAATGAGAATTTTCGGGAAAATTGCGGGCAATCCCCTTGACATTTATCGGATAATTAATTACTTACTAATTATCTCATCAACCGAGAATTTGACGAAATTTTATAAGGAGAACTTTTTTTTGTTAAATCTCATTAACAAAAAAAACGATTCTCCTATAAATTTTGCTAATTGTCATGGTTGACGGTATAATTAAAAATTAAAAAATTGTCTCAAAAATCGACGGAGCGATCGCCGTGATTTTCAGATTGTTCGTTAAAAAGGTCCTCTTCATCAATTATCTAATAAACAATGGACTTTCAGAGATTTTTCCATTGATTATTTTCTGTTGCAAATCGAATTTGCAACAAAAAACATTTGATGGAAAAATGGCGCACGGCCCATGGTTTTTTTTATAACATTTAAAAACGATCAAACTGTTTGCTGCTGAGATTAAATCAACAATAGGGCTTAGGTGATTTTTCCATGGGATTATTTTGTTGCAAATTCAATTTGCAACAAATAGTAATCAATGGAAAAACCCCAAAAACCCAATTGTTTAAAAGATAACTGCAAGAACATTGCCGCGGAGTGATGCGAGAGAGTGAGAGAGAATACCATGACTTCTCTCTCACGCTCACGGGTGAATGTGGAACGTGATCCCGCCTCCTTCTGGCTCGAAGGAGAATCACTCACACTAGAGCGCGACAGCCACACCGACG